TTGGCCAGGCTGGGGTTCAGATCGGCACAAGCTGCTGGGAGCTCTTCTGCCTCGAGCACGCCATTCAACCAGACGGCCGGCTGCCGGAGGATAACACGACCCTTCGGCCAGAGCATTCCTTCTCCACCTTCTTCAGTGATACAGGAAACGGCAAGTTTGTGCCTCGTGGCCTTTTCATCGACCTCGAGCCAAGTGTGGTCGACGAGTTCCGGACCGGTGCCTATCGCAGCCTCTTCCATCCCGACCAACTGATCACTGGCAAGGAGGATGCGGCGAACAACTACGCTCGAGGCCACTATACTGTGGGTCGTGAGATCATCGACTTGGTCATGGACCGTATCACCAAGCTGGCCGAGAATTGCGAGGGACTGCAGGGCTTTCTGATCTTTCACTCTTTCGGCGGAGGAACTGGATCCGGCTTCACCTCCCTCCTCATGGACAGACTGGCCAGGGACTTCGCCAAGCGCTCAAAGTTGGAATTCTCAATCTACCCGGCGCCGCAGATCTCTACAGCCATTGTGGAGCCCTACAATGCAGTAATGACGACGCATTCAACCATGGCACTGTCTCAATGCTCCTTCATGATGGACAATGAAGCAATCTATGAGCTCTGTTGGTGAGCACGCGGCTAAATGGGATAAAATATTAGTATTATTATTATGCTCAATATGAATATGTTTCAAACCTTGTCCAAGTATTGCGGATAGTTTAGATAATGGTCGTAGAGAAATAAACTCGTGTCTTCACATTTGATCCAGGATTATTGCGTCACAAATTGAGCAGTACCATCTGGGTGAATAACGATTATGACCTTCAGGCGGATACATTTCTCATAGCGGATCTGAATTCCATAGGTTTACTTAGATGTTAGGCTGTTTATCAGGATAAAGTCTGCTTCATAACATCTAATAAGCTCGATTCTAGATATCGAATAAGCAGAGATCACAGAGGAAAGATGATAATTTTTCGTTTAGCAGCAGATTTTCGCCACTAAAAGTAGACCAAGTGTATGAAGCATATTCACCCTATTTCGTGTAAAGTGATAAAAGACTGATAATAAAAATTTTCCCACAATTGTCTTGCTTCCTAAAGAGCATTCTCATCCATGCTGAGGTGGACTGCAATTCCAACCTCGTCTAGCTCTCATCATCACACCCAGCTGAATTCGAACCCTGGTAATGCGGTCTCGCTGGCGATGCGGATGCTACCTAGGCCAGGTCGAGACGGCAGTACATTCTGAATGGCAATACCTTTTGGGAAGCAAGACTATGTGAAATTCATTTGAAACGTGAGACATACTCATAAAAATGTGGGCAAAAGTAAATTTCCTGTTAGGGGGACCTTCATTTCGAATGAAAGTGCATGAACGTTCCCCTAAAAATGGTATCTCAGGCAATTGTTAAAAACCAACTTTCTCATAGTATCTATAAATTTCCTGTCTTTCAACACCTTAAACCAAGTATGGTGAATACATCTCATAGACCCGCAGTTTATCGCTTTGTACTTCGCCTTGCATCATACAACTTTAAAGTTAAATATGCATCCTTCAGTGCCAAAGCTTAAGCAGCTTCCTTTCAATTCAAGCCTACTGGGCAGCCGTTTGTGCACCGAATCTGACCGAAGGGCAGGCTAGTGAGGTATGCAGTTAGGGAAGCTATCGCACGTTCGATGGGGTAAACTGGTTTGGCAGTGTCTGCACGGACATGGACTCATGGTCTATCGCCAAATTGGAATTCACAAGAAATGTGAGTGAGACATTTGCAAGCTTGACATATTGCAATTCTGTGCATTTATCGCATAAAAGGTTGATTTGTCTTTGATTACTTTTAGAGAAAACCCGATTTGT